GCGGGGAACTCTGCAAAAAACGCATCTTCGCACGGGCAGCCCGTGCGTTGGCCAATTTTCTAATTTTAAACCCAATAACATTTGAAATGCTGTTTTACCAATGATAAGAGAAATCAAGTAGGAAAAGCTGTTTTTTTTGAATATCAGTCGATCTGTTCCTTTGTCAACAATACTTTTTCTCAAGGACTGTTTAGCCGTATGAAGAATTTCTATTCTGGAGCTTTTTCTTTGAAATAAATTAAAATTTTCTGTGAATTAAAATTAAAGCTTTTTCTTTGAAATAAGTTAAAATCTTGTCAGAACATTAGAATACGTGGAAAAGCAAAATGTTTTACTGCGTTTAGTTAAAAATCATTCAGTGGTACCGAACTCCAGAAACAGCTATTGGTCTTAAAATGTTCTGTTTTATCGAGATTTTAGAACGAGACGTCTTTGCAAACCAGCTTTGCTTCCTTTAGTGATGTGGCTGGCAACTTCAGCATTCTTTCGAGCCCTTTTTCGTTCAACATTCTTTCGAATTTCGAGCTCTTTCATCCAAAAAAATTTCACGGATTCGGCAAATAAAGCCTTTTCAGTATTGTTTTGACACTGCGTTGGTACCGTTCAATAATTCGCTTTATCCATCTTTCTCTTATTCATGCCAAATGTAGATTTGGCGGCAGACTACAGAACGATATAGTGCCATATGGTCTAAACACTGATAAGAAATTGCAGTCAGAAAATTTAGGTAAAAGCATTGGCCGATCGACTTTCTGAAGCTATGGCTGAATACTTGCACATGGAGGTTTGTGAAATTGATTTTAAATTTTTAATGCTTTATCTTCAAATGTTTTAAGGCAGTAGCCTTTTAATCTTTGTGTTCTATGTGCGATGGTGAATGGTACTCACGAGAAAGTAAAATGACCCAAATACACCGAATAGGTAACGGCAGTCCAGGATCAACGGGCTCGCATATGGAAATATTCCAGAAACATTTCTCAGACAGGGTACTCACAGTGATTGCCTGGGTGATCTTGATATTCTCAGATTTACTTTTCCCAGAAATTTTTGGAATTCCTAAAGTTTTTTTTGAAAAAAAGAAAAAATTTGCCTTTTTCAGGCAATCCTAGATTTCAACATTTCAGGTACGACGAAAGTACTGGGGCTATTCCAGAGATGAAGATATGAATGCGTCCGATATGTTGAGTATCAAATATACCGGCATTAGGCCAGCACCGGGCTATCCAACTCAGCCAGATCATTCCGAGAAGGCAACTCTATGGAAATTATTGGACGCCGAAAAACTCGCTGGAATCAATGTTGGTTTGCCCAATGAAGAAATCGTAAAAATAATGAAAAAGTTATAAATTTTTGGCTCCAGGATAAGTACAGACAGCAGTATTAGAAAAACGAAGGCTACTTGAAGTTTAATGAAGGAAAGTCACATTCTGAAATAAACTATTGGTATCCCAAATTCTTGTTGTGCCAAAATTTCCTGGTTTCACATGAAACAATACAGTAGGAGATAAGTGGCCAGTCTAAGCTCATGCTCAAGAAGGCCTGTTTCAACACAGTCGTGTTTCATTCCTTAGCTGTAAACACAGACCGAGCGCAGCATGAATTATGTTCAGTATGGGTTATATTTCTCTGATACCAATCTCATCCGTTTTATCTCCTTAGTCGTAACTGGCCAAAACAGCTTTTACACATCTCATTCTTGTTTATTTTACAAGTTGAGGACCAATTTTGTTTACCGCGCATTTCTGGTACGAGCAAGGAACCGGGAACAGCGACTAGATTCAAAGACCTAAAATCAGTTCCCAACTTTTAACTTGTGCGTCGTGTGGTACCACACACCTTAGACAAATATGGTATCATCCCCTCTTTATTCCACTCGTGCGTTGACTTCGAAGGTTAATGCGTACACTTCTGCGTAATAACAAAATTATAGTTAACCGAAACATATGCAATGGAACCAGCAGCTTCAGTGTGCGGTTTATATTTCGCGCATCCAAAATCACGATATTTTTCCGTAGGAAAAATCGACAAAGATCAG